AATATATGAACACCATTATCTATTAATTTTTGAATACGTGGTCTATGCCAATTTATAAGAAATTCTTCTGTTACATTTGCACAATATTTGCCACTATATTCTGAAGCATCATGTAAACAAGCTCCATATGGTCCAATTGATCCAGCAATTAATGGATTTGCATTTATAACATTTCCTTTATTTTCTATTTTTTTTTTGTTACAAATTCACAGCTTCTTTAGCATAATCTACAGCTTTAGAAAAGATATCAAGACTTTCTTCTTCTGTAATGTTCATATATTTTGAAAAGCCATCAATAGATGCTTGATAAGTATTTGTTAAAATTATATCTGCTCCAGCTTTCAAAAAATCCAAATGTGTAGAAATAATTGCATTAGGATTTGTAACAAGAAAACGTGCTGTCCATAATGGATCACCATCTATTATATCATCAACATGAGTTGCTAATTGTGTAGAAAATCCACCATCTAATACCATCACTTCTTGCATGATTTTCTATTAAAATTATCGTAATTATTAAATATTTTTAATATCAAAAATATCAGTATACATATACACACATATAAAAATATATAATTATTTTTGTTTTTTAATCATTTTAAATTGTAAATAATTTTTCTTAATAACGGTGCGTCTTTCACATTGGAAAAACCAAATTTTTATTTATAATTTCGCGCACGTCTTGGCCGCTTAAATGTGTTTACAACGTCTGAGGCAACAATTTCTATAATTGACTTCACAAAATACATCTATTCCAAAGTCCATTATGAATCTGTGAGATAAATATTATAAAAACGTGAACAAAATTTCAAATGTAATTATACTCATAGTTCTTACGTCGTGAAGAGCTTTTATACTAGGAAGATCAGATTTAGTCACGTGTATTATACGTATTATGATAAATCGCGTATTTGTGATATATATTATATATATATATATATACAATATTTTTAAATGTAACATTATCTTGCATTGGTCTGATAAGCATTAATCAATGTCAATTGATGTCTTTTCTTATACAAATTTGAAGACTGAAATTACAAATGCTTTTTATAACGATAAATTTAGATTTTTTTTTTATCATTGAAATGCAGTATCAAATGAATTAAACTAATAAATAATATGTTTCATAACAAAAAAAGACATAATAAAATATATGTATAATTAGAATATCTATAAAAAATTTAAATATATTTTTTTTTCGAATAAATATTAATTGAAAAAAATATTTATTGCTTGTAAATAAAAATAATAGTTATTATATATATGTATATATATAGGCATTTAATTTTATAAAGATGTTAAAAAATATATAAAAGAATATATATAAAATTAAAAATAAAATTAACAAAATTTTAAAAAGCAAAAATAATTAAATTTTTATTTAAAAAAAATTAATCCATTATTTCCATTATTGCTCTTTTGATTTTTTGAAATTATTTACTGCTTTCCTAATTGATTTTATATTCTCTGCATACATTCTGCAACATCCTCCAAGATATCGTATTCCAAATTCTAACCATTCAGGAATGAAACTTTCAAGTGGAGCACAACTTTCATTTTTTATCCAACCTTCATTTGGTGAATAGATTTCACCACTATTAGGATATGCTATAAGTGGTATAAAATCATTTCCTGATCCCATATTGATATTTTTCAATAAAGGAGTTACATCTTTTGGAGCAATACAATTTACACCAATGGCAACTATTTGTCCTGGTAATGTTTTATAACAACGTGTAGAAAGTTCTTGAAAATTGCTTCCATCTACTATTTTTTGTGTATTTCTTTCACAAGAAAATGAAAGCCATGCTTTAGTATTTGGATATTCTCTTAGAAGTTCAACTATTGCTTCTGCTTCTTGATAACAAGGTATAGTTTCTAATGCTAATAAATCTATACCAGCATTTATAATAGCATCTATACGTGATTTATGCCATTGAATTATATTTTCACGAGGTGTTATTTTGCCATAAGCTCCATTATATTCTGAGCCATCATGCAAACTAGCTCCATATGGTCCACAAGAGGCAACAATCATAGGATTTTTATTCTCAACATCATTACTGTCTATAACTTCTTTAGTATAATCATTCACTGCAGTTTTAGCAAGATGAACAGCTTTATGTAACAATTTTATACTTTCTTCTTCACTTATAGACAAATGTTTCATTAAGCTAGGAATTGAAGCTTGATATGTATTTGTTTCAATAATATCTGCACCTGCTTTCAAAAAATCCAAATGTGTAGCATATACTGCATTAGGATTTGTTACTAAAAATTTTGATGTCCATAAGGGATCACCATCGACTTTTTCATTAACATGAGTAGATAATTGAGCACCAAATCCACCATCTAAAATCTTAACATTCATTTTTTTTTTTTATTACATGAAACGAAATAAAGGTTATCCGATTTCTTTATTACAAAATTACAAAGCTATACAAAATTACAAAATACTATATTTATATAGTATATTTTAATAATTATTTCAATAAAATCTAATATTATTAATTAATATTATTAATTAATATTAATAATATTTAATAATTAAAAATATCTCACGATCGAATTCATAGTTATATTGGCAGTTCTCTTATCTTTTATCAGCGATTTTTTTATAACCAATTCGCTATTTCCATTCAACAAACAGATAACTCGTTTTGGAATTAATCAATAGCGTAATTTAATTTATTTGCAATTCGAGATTCTTCTATTAATATTTAAACATAATTAATTTAAAGAAAAATATAATTTATATAATTTCGACTTTTTTTATAAAAATATTCATCATATTTATATTTTGTATATAGATATGAGATTGAACACGATATAATTGATTTTAAATTAATAATAAAAATAAAGTAAATCTATATTTCTATTATTCATTTTTTTTTTTAATTTCTTTTTTTTTATTCATTTTTAGTTTATCCTTTTCTTCTTTGTTACTATTTGAATATTGAAAAAATATGAAAGTGAATACTACTGAAGTTATTAAAATTGAATGAATTCAAAAATTCAATCGTTTCTATTAAAAATTTAATGTAACTATTTATATATAATTTATATATGATTAAAATAATTACGTTGTATTTGAATATTTTATTACCTAATTTTTTATAATTTTAAATTTTAAGTAATTTTTTATAATTGTTTTATAACAAATTTATAATATGAATAATTTAAACTTTATTTGTTTAATATTTATTAAATTATTTAAGTGTTAATTATTACGTAGCATATATTATCTTAAATAAATTTTTATATATAAATATCTAGATTTTTATATTTTAAATATTATATATTTTTTAAATAACAACAATAATATAATAATAAATAAGTTTAAATATAATAAACTTTCGAAAGTATATTGCACTTTAAATTTTAATCTATATGTATATATATATATTTAATAATATAACAGCAAATTAATATTATAAATATTAATATAATAAGTATATAATATAAGTATTAAAAATATACCGAAGTATGTATATATGTATATAGTATCGAAATATTTATATTAATAATTTTAAATATTATTTAATTTATCGTGTAATATATAATTTTATTTTAACATTGAATTTCAATGAGATATAGTTTGATAATAATAGTTTGATAATATATCGAAAATTACTTTATATATTTTGAATAAAAAATTATTTATATTTATAGTCATGATTATTTCTTTACATATAAATTTTAAGTTTATTAATGTAATGTAATATATGTAAATACATCAAATATTTATATATATAAATATTTATACAATTATATATCTTGATATATTTATAATTTTTTAAAGAATAGTATATTCTAAATATTGATTATATTATAAAATTGATTATGGATAATCTTGTGAACTTTGTGCATTCTTCTCTCTAATAAAGTTAAAGAAATTTAAATTTAAAGAAGAAATAACATATTCACGCTAGTGGTAAATATTTATTATTAATCTTTTTTTATTAAATTTATTTTATATATAATATACATATTATAATTTTAATTATATATTTAGTTTTTAAAGATATAATTATGTAATATTTTATATGTTAATATATTATATATATATTTATTTAGATAAAGTTTATATGTGTTATATGTGAATGATGAAATCTCACAGTTAATTTTCATTAAATTATCAAAAAAAAAAATAATCATGTGTTAAATTATAATCTTTTTTTATGTTAGATATGTATTCAGGTGGGATTTTAAATATTTCAGAAGTAAATGCTTTAATTTCTGAACAATTTAAATGACTTTTTAGAAATGTTATAGAATATTATTCAAATATTGCACAGTATATAGCACTTATGAGATCATTTATATCAGTTAAAAATATCAAGAAATGTTTTTACAAATATTTAGATAAATTTGATATTTTTGGTAAAAAATAATTATATAATTATTATATTTAATAAACATTTCTTGAATAATTTAAAAAATTTTGAATTAACATATTGCAATTTGTTAAATATTTATTTTTAGAAAAAAAAGTCTATTATTTAAATACTCAGATTTAGTAAGAAAATTAATAAAAGAATTTTTTGTTGCTGAATTACAGTTTGAACAAAAAAATTTTGAAATTAAATCTATAACAAAAGAAGAAAAACAGATATTAGTTAGTTATGATTTGTAAATACATAAAAAAAATAAAAATACGTAAAAAAAACTTAATTTCATAACTTAATTATAAATAAAAGATTATAAAATATAATTTGTAATATTATTTCAAATATAAGGAAAAATTTTATATTTCTTTTAATATGTAAAAAAGTAAAATAGAAACAATTCTTAAAATTCAAATGTGTTTACAAAATATAAAGAAAAATGAATTACATGTTGCAATTCAAGAAGTTATAATTAGTAGAATATTTTAGTAGAACATTGTTTACATTATCATCTATGATCAGATATATAAAGATATGTAATTTTTTAAATAAATTAAATAAATTTAATGCTAATTATTTAAACTAAATTATTTAATTATAAGAATTAAATATTTATTGTTACTCAAATTTATTCAATAATACAAAGTAATGATTTATATATTATAAATAGAAATAAGCATTTACAATATTCCAAGACTTTTTTCAATAACAGCATGTGGTTGACCCATTTGTTCTCTAAATTCAGATATATTTAATATGTCTTCAAACCTAAAGATATAAAAAGTTGTAGAAATTATATTTATTCATTAATTCAATGAATTTATTTCATTAATTAATATGTTAGAAATTATAAACTAAAACATAAAATATATATTATTTAATATAATATATAAATATACATTAAAATAAATATATATTATTCAATTTAAATAATTAATTAAATAAAAAATTCTTTAATTAATTTACCCTATTTCTTCATCTTTTCCAAGTAACACATCTTTCATCATATTTGATGATGGAAGAAATGGCAATCGCCCAATTTTTTCAGTTGCTTTTAATTCCATTGCTAAACGCATTGGGGCATGTAATCCTTGTGAATTTCTTAATAATACCATATTTATATGAGTACGATTTTTTTCATACTGAAAAGTAAATATAATGTATATAATGTAAAAGATAAAAATAATTTTCAATATATTTATTTTCTTACATTTCTCTCAGATATTTCTAGTGGATGTGCATAACCTAAATGTTGTCTAGATGCCGATAACCTAACAAGATAATAATTAAATAATATATTTTATATTAATTATTGTGAATTTTTTATTCTTAAGAAAATTATCTAATAATTTATTCGTACCCTGAAATCATCGGATTAGGTATACCATAATTGTCATCATGAATATTAAATTGACCGTTCAGAATAGGTTTTGGTTTAAGTGAAGGTAACCCAAAACTCTAAAAATGTATTATTTTAATGTTAATATTTTTATATATATATTTTTTAAATTAAAAAGAATAATGCTGTAAATGTTTTCTATGACATAATTTTATTTTAAAACTAATATTTTTCAAAAATATATGTTCACAAATATAAAAATAGTTCATTTTTTAATTCTTTCAATATTACATATATATGAAACAATTAAAATTTATATTATTTTTTTACCATTATTATTACTTATATAAAATCTTAATTTTTAATGAAAAGCAAGTCACGTTATACGGATTCACAACAGACTTTATATTGCGTTCACAAAATCACTGAAATATCATTTGACATTTCACGTGTGCAAGTCAGTCATAACGGCATTAATAATACAAAATATAGATTAGAATTTGTGTCTCACAATTTATAATATTTATTTTATAAACTATATTCTATTATATATTGATATACTGATATTATTAAATTATTATATAGATTAACTTTATGATTTTATATGGATTTTCATAAATATTATGTTTATATATTATACAATATATCTTATTAATTTTTAATTTCTTTCTCTTAATTTAAATAAAAAGTTAAAAATAATAAAATTAATTTTATTATTATTCTAAAATTAATTTCGAAAATTATCAATAATATTTTCTAAAAATATTTTACCTCATCTGTTGCTATATTTATCATATATAACTTTATCGATATAACAATGTGAAATGCAAAGACATCAAATCATATATTGTATGTATTTAATGTATTTCAAATAATTGATTTTAGTTATTATTTACTAATTATTATTCAGAAAATTACAAAGTAATTTTATTTATGTTGAATTAATATTGCAACTGGTTAATTAAAAAAATCAAAGATGACACATTACGCATTACACAGAAGAATTTCTCTTCGTGAATCATTTCTGGAAATATTAAGAAGAAGATCAGTAGTTATAAGACCAGTAAATATATTTTATATCATTTTTAATGTTATTATAGTCTATTGTATAAATATTTTGGAAGTAAAAAAAAAAAAATAAGATATTACAAATACTATATACTTTATATATTTTGTATCTTTATATATTTTATATCTACGTATTTTTAAATTTTGAAATTCAAATTTGGAATTCACGAAGATTATTTTATTTTAATTAATTTAATTAAAATATCATTTTTAAATTCTAAATCGAAATAAGGGAATGAAATATTTTAACTTTATATATATATGACAGAAGCAAATACAGAGATATAACTTGATTATTATCATAATTATAATGATGTTTATAAATAATATGACCTATTTTTAATAACAATAATTATATAGGTCAATAGATTAAAAGGAATTTATCTTTTTCGAGCTGCGGTAAGACTTGTTTTGGAATATATTGAATGGTTGGTCGAAGAACCTGTGATTGAAGAAGTTAGCGATGATATCGCTATTAATATTCGAAGGGCAGAACAAAGAAGACTTGAAAAAAAAATGCTTACACTACAAGTACATAGAATTTTTAATATCTCTCTAATTATTGATATTTAATATTTTTAAATTATTTAATTATATTTGATATAATTATTATTAATTGATTTTTTACAATATAAATATTTTAATTTTTATTAAATAATAAAAATGATTTATACTTAAGGATCGTTCTTATTTATTAACGAGACCAGAAGATCGACAAAAAGAGGATAGAAGATATGTATATGAATTATTTAAAAAATTTCGCGCATTTATAAAATATCCTGAACGTTTGAGAGAAGTTTTGGCGGGAGTATGTTATTATCAATACTTACGAGCTGGTCGCGAAATTGTGCGACAAGGCCATAAACCTCGAAATCAATATTTTATTATAAATGGAGAAGTCAGTGTAACAAAAAAAGTTATTGATCGTTGGACAGGTATATAAAACAATATTTTTTAACAAATTATTTGTTAATTTCATTGCATGAATAATAAAATTTTCATTGGAATCATACATCAAAATATTGTTTGAAGATATATTATCCTCTAAAATAATAGTTTTTGGGACAATACAATAATTTTTTTAAAAATGATTTAGTAATTTTTATAGAGAATAATATATAATATTTACCTATATATATTAAAAATAAATGATTCTATTTAAAAAATTATATGATCTCTAAGCATCTGAATCTTTTCTTCTTTAAGAAAAAATATTACATCCACCTCAAAATCATTTTTATTTAAAATATTTTTAATATCTCCGAAAAATAGATTATTCTGGATAAATTTACGTGGAATATGTATATATTATATAATAATATAATATATTATATGATAATATATATATATTATAAAAAAGTTATTAAAAAATTATTATTAAAAAATTTATTATTATTAGGCGAAACGAAAGAAATTGATATGGGTATTTTAACTTCTGGTGACATATTTGGTGAAGTTGCGATGCTATATAATATACCAAGATCAGCAACAGTAATTTCAATAAGTATGTAGAATTATTTTGTCATTTTAATATAACTATTTTATTATTATATTATTAAATATTATAGATATTTAATAAATTTTATTTGTAGCTCCAGTAGATTTGATACTTATTCCTCAAAATGAATTTGACGATATTGTACGACCTTTTTTACAAAAAGAATGGGACTTATTACGAGATGCATTAATTAACTTTAATTATTTTAAATCCTGGGATGAAAAAACAATACGAGAATGTTGTATTCTTAGTAAAATAAGAGATTATCAAATTGATGAGGTATATAATTTACAATAATCTATATATAAATTACAATAATTTAAATAATATTCAATATATATTCAAATATAATTATATTAAATTAATATTTAAAAAATAATTAAATATCTCTCTGATTATCAAATATTAATAATTTGTAATATATCCTTTCAAATGAATTTTTATAATATATATATATTATTATATATTTTATACAATAAGTTTCGTTTTTAATATTAATTGTCATAATTAATATTAGTTTAATCTAAAATATTGATAAATATATAATAAAATATATTCAATTTATTAAAAAATTTACGATAATTTATAATAATTATAATAGAAAATTAATCTATCTGTGTAATTTTTTCTTGAAATTCTTTTTATTGGATCAAAATAAATATAATAAAATTACAAAATAATTATTTAAGGTTTTATTAGGTGATGGTAAAGGAATGGTGAATTATGTTCATTTCTTATTAGAAGGTGAATGTAGTCTAATAGAACACATGATTGTTCGTGAAAAACATTTTGTTTATGGAACTCATTACGAATTATATGATCCCGAAAAGGCTAATGCACAAAATTTATCATGGTCTAAAAATTCAAAAATAATTGAAAAAATAGACGAATTGGAATACGAGTATCAAAAAACTAAAGTATGATTTTATATTATAATAATTATATTAAATATAATGCATAGTTATAAGCTCTACGTTATATAATAATCTTTTTTTTTATTTCAACTTATTAAAAATTATTTTATACATGATATATATATATATAATTTTTTGTTTTAAAGGAAAATGGCATGGTAAATGAAGATTTTGTAGATTATGCTCAACTTTTACTATCTTCAAAGCCAACCGATAGAAGAACAGATCTTGAACGTGCAAGCATTGTTACTACAACATTATTAGATGTAGTAAGTACAGCATTCATAAATAATTGTTATAATTTTCTTTTATTTGAGATAAAAAATATAGAAAAGAAAATTGAAAAATATAAATACGAAATAAATACGAAATATAAATTATGAAATTTAATTGTATTAGTGTAATATATATAAAACATTGAAAATAATCAAATTGAAGCGAAACAATATTTAATACCATTAAAATAGATTTTTTGAATATTTTACGAAGATGGTTTTTTCTTACTTATGTTTTTTATCTTTTAAAAAAATTAAGAACTATTTTAATATTTAAATTGTAACTTAAAAAAAAAACTTTAAATGTAAAGATAAATCAGTGGCATAAAATTACGGATGTAGCAGAAATGTTAATGAGAGAACCTTCATCTATTTCTCAACAACGTTATCCGGCTGACGTACGTACAATATTTATGCAAATCTGTACGTTTAGCAGAGGTGCGTGTTTCGGATTAGGTAATATTTTATTAAATTCATATGTCAATATATTATTTTAATCAAAAATTATTTCGAGTAAAAATAAAATAATATTTATGAATTAGGAGAGAATATGGTTAATCGAAGAATAGTAGCTAATACACCCGTAAGATGTTTCTTAGTCCCACGATATTGGTTGAGAACTCATAATCGTGCAAATATTTGGGAACGCGTTAAACAATTTATGGATTCAAAATTTCCCACGAAGGAGCAATTATTTGAAAACTTTGTAACGAATCGAAGGTATATTATTTCTTGTTGTTATTTACATTGTTTTTTTTTTTATTATTATTTCAATTATAAAATATTTGTTGAGATATGTAAAACATATCTAATCATGTCTAATAATTATAATTTACTATTTCAGATGGTTAGAATATAAGAAAATTTTAGTTGATGATATAAGTAAACGTACAGGTCGGCATATTCGTAATAATGTAACAATACACGATGTTCCTTATGCGATTAGAATTGTAAGTGATATAGGCGTGGAAATATAATTCTAGGAAATATTTATGAAATTAAAATGTTATTTATACTTTCAACATTAATAAAAAATAAAAATGTTGTAAAGATAAAAATTTTATTATATAAGTTTCTTCTAATTCTAAATATAGATTATGATTAGACAATTTAAATTAATTCAACACATACACATTATATCAATTTGTTTTCTCATTCAAATAAAAATAGCTTATACTGAATTAAACATTTCTCTCTCTCTCTCTCT